GCACCGAGCACCGGGCACCGAGCCCGGGTACCGGGTACCAGGTTCCGGCCCCCGGCCCGGCAGGAGCAGCGCCGGAACAGGGCACATCGCAGGGCGCCTCGCGGTGGGCACGTCAGAAAGAAAGAGATTATTAAATTTGGATACCTTATAGCAGTTATAGTTATTACRTGCATTATACATTTTATATATATATGTATAATATATATATATAATAAAAAGCTACTAACTTATAGCAAGGCTGCTTTGCTTTAGAAACACCTGTCGGAAACACGCCCGCTTTTGCCCTCCCGCCTGCTTTTGGAGCCGGAGAGTGTGCAGCCAGGGAGCGCAGCAGCSAACTGCGGTGTTTTCTTAGCACCCCGAGGCCGTGTTCCTGGTCGCGACCCAGCGGCCCCGGCTCTGGTGCTTTGTAAGCGCAGTCACCCAGTTCACACAGTCACACAGTTCAGCCGGACAAAACGAGCAGGAACCGGGGGTGGTGTCTGCAGTGACAGAGGCAATGCCAACTTCCAAGCCAGTTAACACTATTTTGGATAGTGCTGCCAAACATATTTATGCGAGTCTCTCATTTCAGGAATGCAGAAGGGCTACCATGGCATTTCACACCAGCAAATGGCTCTTTCTGGGAGTGGCCTGGCAGTGGCAGCATTTTGAACATCCGTGGGAATGGAATATCTTTCTTTTTTTCTTCATTTTTCCCCTATAGCTGAGCTGATCTCCTCTCACCACAGATCTGGCATGCACCTCATTTTGGAAGATTTTGGATCCTGCTCCTAATATCTCCACTTATTTTCTGCTAGAAATAAACTGTGCTAAATACAGCGTGGCAGAAGACTGGGGGAGGAAAGACAATTCAACAGCAGCAGTGAAAACTACAGATATATTTGAACCGAGATAAACTTCCCAATGTTGCTGCCAGGGAGAACATGTGAAATACATTTCAGTAGAGTCTATAATGAATTGTGTAGAAACTGTTGAGTTTGATGGCAAAATGCTAATCAAATATCTGCCRGAGGGACAATTTAGCAGGGCCTGAGCGATCCGGGAGTCTTTGGAGGGCATAGACGGTAGCTTTGTGGCACAGGTGATAATGAACCCACAAGGAGAGGCCTCTGGTGGACCTGACGCAAACTTCCAAGCAAGAAGAATTATCCAGGGTTGTGCCAGCTGGAACAGCTTTGTCTGTGGTGACTGTGGGATGGAGTACAGGATCCAGAGGGAAGGGCACGAGGCAAATCCCATAGCAGGAGCACACCCTGGACACCAGAAGAGCAGAGTTGGGCCTGTTCAGTGACCTGCCTGGAAGAATCCCTTGCAAAAAGGACTTGGTGAGAAGAGAAGTCAAAGCCACCTGGTTGGTCTTCAGGAAAATGAGGAAAAAGCTGGACCCACTGCTGAATGGGGCAGGGACCAAAGGACATGGAAARGGCTGAGGTACTTGGTGTCTTATTGGCCTTGCTTTTTGCTACGAGGATTCTTGCAGGAATCCCAGACACCTGAGACAAGTGCAGAAGTGGAAGCATCACCAGTCAGAGGAGGAAAGGGCTAGGGAACATTTAAACAAACTTGGTATATCCAAGCCCTGCTAGGTGGGCTGTCCCCCGTGAGTGCTGAGCAGCTTGGCTGATGTCAGTGCAAGGCCACTCTTGATAACCTTCAAAAAGCTGTGGTGATCAGGGAAGGTTTCTGAGGACTGGAAGAAAGCAAATGTCATGTCATCCTCAACAAGGACAAGAAGGAGAATCTAGGGAACTACAGGCTGATCAGCCTAACATCAATCCCTGGGCAAATGATAGAGTAAATAATCCTGGAAGCCATTGCTAAACCTATTAAATACAAGAAGGTGATTTGGAAGAGTCAGCATGGATTTACAAAGAGGAAAACCTGCTGGACCAACCTGGTAGCCTTTCATGACAAATGACCAGCTCTGTGGACAAGGAGGGTGCAGCGGTTGCAGTTTATTTTGACTTTRGCTGGCTTTTGAACTGCTTCCTGAAACATCCTCATTGGCAGCTGATGAAGCATACACCAGATAGATTGGCAATGACAGAAAGTGAATACTGGACAAACTCCTGGGCATGAAGGACTGTAATCAATGGCACAAAGTCCATTTTGGAGGCCAGACATTAGTGGAGTACCCCAGGGGTCAGTACTGGGGCCAGTGTTGTTTARCATCTTCATTAGCAGTCTGGATGATGGGGCAGGGTGCATCCTCAGCAGATTTGCACATGATACAAAACCGGGGGGATGTTTCAGAGACCACCTGGTAGGGCTGCCTTTCAGAGGGATTTCAGCAGGCTGGAGAGTTGGACAGAGAGTGACCTTGGGAAGTTCAATAAAGACAAGTACAGAAGCCTGCACCTAGGGAAGAATAATCCCATGCACCAACACAGGCTGGGAGAAGACCAGCCGGAAAGCAGATTTGGAAACAAGGACCTGAGGGTGCTGGTGGAAAAGCTGACCATAAGGCAGCAAAGTGCTCTTGTGACAAAGGCAGCCAGCAAGATCCCAGGGTCCCTTAGGAAAATTGTTTCCAGCAAGGGGAGAAAGGTGCTTCTTCCCCTCTGCTCAGCCCTGGTGAGACAACGTCTGGAGCACTGTGTCCATTTGAAGGCTCCCCAGCACGAGAGAGGCACGAACCTGCTGGACAGGGCTACCTGTCTATATGCATAAGCATCTGATGGGGGACAGAAGACAGAGCCAGAGTCTTTTCAGTGGAGCCCAGTGCTAGGACAAGAAGCAATTGGCATGCACCAAAGTAGAGCAAATTCAGTTTAAAGGTTAGATGACATTATTCGCTGTGAGGGTGGCTGCACTCAAAGCAGAAAGTCCTGAGCGATTGGAGATATTCAAACCCGAACTGGTCATGACTAAGTAACCTGTTCTAGGTACCTAGATTACCTAGCTTTGAGTAAAGGGCTKCACTAAGCCTTCCAGAGGGACCTTCCAACTTCAGTGAGTCTGTAACGCTGCGATTCCGTGACAAAGAGAGAAAGGAGCAGCAGACTGCATGAGATTTGTAACAGCAGCCTGTGCCTTGCTGCTCTCGGCATCGTGCTGCACTGTAACGTTACAGCAGCTACAAAAAACAGTGGATTTTTGCAAGGGTGAGCTAATAATTAACGTGGTACATCATTACCATTTTCAGGAACAAAAGTAATTGCAGCCAGGATGAACAGAGTTAGTTACATATTATTCAGGTTAGTTGTGCTTAAAGCAACGTAAATTGMTGCATACAGCCACTGGTTTTGTTCAGATCTTTCATCCCCCTCTAAGGCAGGGAATATCAGCGGTTAGAGAGCAGCCATCATGTCTTTGCCCTGCATTTCGTCCCTGTGACCTTGGGAAAATCGCTTTACGCTTATTTTCAGCRGTGAAGTGACTTGGGTGTGGATGATGGCTCTTTTTCTCCTATCGTGCAGAATCTTAATCTGTGGTGAAATGTCATGAATGTGGACTCGTGCAATACATGGTATTATTATGCCATTACTKTTGCAACCAGAAAATATTCAGAATTGTGCTAATACAGAGGTTTTTCCAACAATTTGTTCTCAAGCACTGTMTCCTTTATATTCAAACTGCTGTCAATATTTTATTTTAACACGTTTCTGCATTGCCTCTTCACACACAGTCTTTGTCAGTGCTCATGCAATGCATGCATATACATTCCTATACCCTATAGGCGTGKCCCTCCTCGCTTGCGGGCAGCCGTAGGCTGTCACATCTCCTCGGCATTGGTGGGACTGCACCACTACTGTCCCTCCAGGCATCTGCATGGCATCCACACAACGATTTCAGAGTCCTTTGGGTACCAGGTTATTCTTGACAATCTATGATGGAACAGCTTAAAGCATTCCCCACATAAAGGTCCTCACACACTAGCTAATGTGCCCTATTTTATGCACACCTCAGCTTCCCAGAGCTTTATAGTTATTCTGTTAAACATTTTGAGTATCCATCAGGAACCCATCAAATTCTTAAACGCTGTAACACYAGAAATCCATTGGATCCCTTTGGAAATCTTCACCATTTGGGGGAAGTATAGCCCCAGATTTTAAAAATGAACACTTAAGGTGAGGTACGTATTGAAATACTAATAAATTCCCTCCTCTATGGTAGCATTGAAACACATTTCACACCTCGCAAAACAAATTAAATACCTATTACCTAAATGTCAGTTCAKATTATTATATTTAAGCAAACAAATACTTTAAAAATCATAACCATCATTGACATCAAAATAGATATGACATTTCCCTGTTATGTTTTCCAATACAAAGATTTTTAGAATTTATAAAGCGGTATCGCAAATAWAAGTCAAAATCCCCCAATTTCGGCATTTGCGGTGCATGGGAACACCCGTGTGCCCCTGTGCAGCTGGAGCTCTGCCTGCAGCTCTGCAGCTCCTCACACACTG